TCCTCCGGCGCTTCATCTCCCGGAGTTCCTCGGTGAACCAAGGGGGTCTCCGGGATCCGCCGCCTCGGAGGGGCCGCAGAATGTCCTGGGGAATGTCCTAGTCACAAAATCACTTCCAGCTACTAAGGTCTGTGGTTGCTAATTTCATATTTTTCTTTAATATATTATTAAATATATTTAATTGTATATTAAATATATTATTTAATATAATAATATATTAAATATATTATTATACTATTATACATCCACATGTGCATCTACACATACGTGTACAAATGCATGCTCATCCATCATATGTGTTTAAGATTTTTTTTTATTTCATCTATTGGGATAAAGGATTTAGAAAAGTGTGGAGTGGTTTACACACACAGGTTTTTATAAATGAAATTGAGAGGAACATGATCCCTCGCCTGCCAAGGAAATATAAAGTGAAGGAAAACCACACCATAGTTAGGATTATTCTCACATAGAAATTGTGGGTAAATGGTTTTTTTCTGGAGGCTCTGCCTTTTGTGACCATGAGATCCCAGCTAAATGAGGTTGCCCACTAAGGGCTCCTTGTGATTGTTTCAACTGGGATCCAGTCATTCTCCGTCTTTCTGTATTGGTTATAATACTATTGTTTAAGCATGGGGTACACAGACAGCAGGATAACTCACCCTAGGAATAGATGTCTGTTATCGCTTTGTGAATCATCATTTTAACTTTACGTCCTAATCATGAAACAGTTCACTGGATTATATAATGCTCTCATAGACCATGGCAACCTGACTTGGTTGGATTCAAAGCAATTCTGTAGGTCAGTGTTTCTCTGCTTTGGCTGCTCTAAGATGAGTGGACTTCAATTCCCAGAATTCCCTAGCATGAGGAATTCTGGGAGTTGGTCCACACATACAGCCAAGTGGAGAAACTCTGTCCTAGGTTCTTTCATTCCACCTGCTTCCTGGTCTTTTTATCAAAGAATTGGGGGATTAAATCAGGAGTTTTCAGCCAAAGATAGATGCACTCTGCTAGCAGGAAATTGTGTCTTCTTCCTGTAAAAGAAACTCATTAGAATAGTCAGAAGCAATTCTTCCTTGTTCCCAAAACACTAGTATTTTACAGATGTAAGGGTAAAGTATGCATGAGATAACAGAAGTGGACAAATTCTGACTTGGAATCAGGTCAACTAAGAAAAAAAAAACCAGAATGTGATAAAGAGGTCAGGGGCAAAAAAAAGAAAGAAAAAGACACCCCCCCCTCCCTGCAGCTCCCTTGATGTTTGTACATCTTTAAAAACGAGAACTTGATTTTCAGTGTACTGCTATTCTGCAGCAAGAATAGATTGCCTGATATTTTTTCAGGAAGGATCTGATTATAGGAACTGTGTCTTTTTGTGTCCTTTTAATTAACCCTCTTTCCTGGATGAACTAGTTCTCCTTTTGAAGTTCAATATGACTGAACTAGATTTGAGCCATTTCCCACCCATGCAGGTTATTCTATAGTTAGCACTTGGCAATTGAATAAAGACTAGCTTCCGTGCAGAGTAAGAATTATTTTTACTTACTAATAATGCTTATTGAGATGTAACAGTAAGTAGTTTGTGAGGATAATATGACTCATTAATTCAGAAAGTATGTTCATATCAGTGCATTTAATTGTGAATTCAAAGTGTTCACATGGATCTGCACCAATTAAAATCAATAAAGAAACCAGTACTAGAATAGTTTAGTTTAGTATTACTGGTAGTGATAATGTTACCTCCCAATTTTCATTTCCCTTGGATGATCAATACAGCTTTTTCACAAAATACTTTGATTTGTACAGAAGGTCTAGAATACAAACATACTGTGGTCAGATTGTATACAAATGAGTTGGTCATACAAATAGATCCTTGACATTTCCTGTCTAAATCAGACAATGTTACATGATTGTATTATCATAAATATGATCACCAAACATTTGCAGTCCAATATGCAATTAAATTTTTTAATCACCCTTCCTCACCTACAGTCATACTTTTTTAAAAAAATGAAAATAGTACAAAGCTAGTACCAGTTAGAGAATTTTAACACCTGATTCTCAATTAAATACTGTAGTGCTCCAGTCCAAAAGACAATAATTATTGCAGTACCTGTTCTACCGGCCTAACAAAACAAGTATTTTTTACCCTGGTCAAAACAGTTATTCAGTGAAGAAAAGGAATGTAACAAAACAGGAGTACATTTTCTATCATCTGCCCAAGCTCTGAATTTTGAAATAAATTTTATATGAACTCAGACAATTACAATTATTTCTCAAGTTAAACTTGTCCTTGATTAAACAGAAATAATTCACGCAGTTTTCAGAGCTTCTAGGGTCCAATTACTAAACCATTCATTGAAATTGTAAATAGGTGCAGCACACTGAAGAATCTTTTCTCACCATCTTCCATTATAGGTTAGCATTGAAGAATGTAATATTGAAACTGTTATGGTAAAATATTTTGCGCAAGAACAAGATATTTTTTAAAAGGTGTACAGTATGTATGCACAAGTTTGTTTACCAGAATGAAAAAATATATTACAACTCAGTATTCTACCATCCAAGAACACAAATTTATTTATTTATTTAAATTTTTATAGGCTCCCATCTCAATGATTCTGAGTGGCTTGTAATTCAAAAATATATACTAGAATTAAAACAATAAAAACATTTTAAAACAGTAAAAAAAAACTATTAAAAAACCATCCAAAATAAATATACTATAAAATCAGCTGCACTTATAGTGCAGAAACTATACAACATGGTTCTGATAGATCTTTTCTGATTCTCAAGACACAGAAACCATGCACACACATGTATTACTGTAACTTCTGTGCAAAGTAGGAAATTATGACATCCAGCAGCTATTCTTTTTAACTACAGAGGCAGACGTGCTTGTAATCCAAGCAACATTTCAAAACTTTTTAAAAATATAGTAGTTATTAAGTGTATGAAGGAAATCAGAATAGTTATCTGTCCCCATCATTTGCTCTGATGAAAGTGTTGTAAAGTTTTGCTTTCATAGGTCCATTCTTGTATCAAAACAAAAGGATAGGAAGGATCTCCTACAAACAGAATAGCCTTACAACCAAATTCTTATTATTTGGCTGTAGACAGCAACAGTAAACATTTGGCACACTCTTCAGAGATTCTTTCTTAAATTACTGCTTCAAATCTTTCATATAAACGCTGGTGAAAACACTTGACTAATCTGAGAAATGAAGACCTGGCTTGCACAAGAGTGATTTGGGATTAGCTAATAAATAAACACATTCAATAGTAAGAATGAAGAGACAGTAATTCTTTTTGAGGGATTGCTTTAAAGCAGCCATCCAACTTAATCTAGAGATAATATTAAGAGTTTTTAACTTCCGATAAGGGAAATTATCTGGAACACTAAGCAAAATTCCGCCTGTTTAATTTCTGCCTAGGAGACTATCCCGAAATTCCTGTTCCGTAAACTAGAAAGTCATTTTAAAAATCCCAAAGGGTGGCAGAATTAGAGCATTTCGTAGCGCTGCCGAGAAAATTATTACAGTAGATCCTATAGGTAGGTCTCCTGCTTCAGCAAGGGTTGGACTAGATGACCTACAAGATCCCTTCCAACTCTGTTATTCTATTCGTCTTCTTCAACGTCACATGAACATTCTTCTCCACAGACTCCAACCCCCAAGATGCACTTCGACTGTCTTTTTTTTTAAATTGACGTTTTAAAATTAAAAAGGAAAAGGAAACCGGCCCTTCCATTCGTTTAAAAAGAAGGCGGGAACAACCCTTACTGGGCTTCTTGGCCTCTAAAGCCCTCCCTTTCCCACCTCGCGAAAATTATGATCGTAACCATCGAAGGAAGGCTAGAGAGGAACATTTAGCCGCAAGGCGACCTGAGGATGGTAAAGCCGGAAGCGGAAGTGGCGTCGCCGGGCCACCTTCTTTCCCTTCAGGTTCCATTTTCTGAGGACCGTTTGGTGCGCGCCGGGGCCTGTTTCGAGGTGGCGTCCTAACCTCTCTTGCGCATCATGACGGACCGTTACACGATTCACAGCCAGTTGGAGCACCTGCAGTCCAAGTACATCGGGACCGGCCATGCCGACACCACCAAGTGGGAGTGGCTCGTGAACCAGCACCGGGACTCCTATTGCTCCTACATGGGCCATTTCGACCTGCTCAACTACTTCGCCATCGCCGAGGACGAAAGCAAAGCCCGCGTCCGTTTCAACCTCATGGAGAAGATGCTGCAACCCTGCGGGCCGCCCGCCGACAAGCCTGACGAGTCTTAAGCTTTGCAGCCGTGCAGCCCACCCGAACGAGGAAGGAAGGAAAGAAAGAATCCTTGGCCGCCGGGGAACGATTGGATTCTGCACCGCCTCTTTCCACCCACCCGTGACTGCTTGTGGACTTGCGCAGTTAAATTGATTCCGACGTGTTTCGTACACCGTGCATGGCGGGGAGGGCATTGTCTGAACTTTTTCCCTCTGTAGCCTGTGGGGATTTGGGACGGAGCAGAGCGGAGCCCGATGGTTTCCCGTAGACCGGCACTGGGGTGGCTTGCTTTGAAGACTTGCAAATGCATCTCTCCCCCCCCCCTTTTTTTTTTTCATTTCCCACTTTAGAGTGTTTGGGAGGCATTTTCACAATTCGGTTTAATAAAAGATTATGCTTTTTTAAATAAATAAATTAATGTGTGGGTAATCAATTAAAACAGCAAACTAACGAACCCCTGACAGATGGGATAGTATTAATGCATCTCCAAAATCATCTAAATTTGTACCTTGTGGCTATGTAGCCCTTGAGCGATCTCTGGTAAAAAAGAAAAAAGGAAGAAAGTGTAATTGGCCATTTGTATGATGGTTTCTGTACAAAGATCCCTATGCTTGGTCACCCTACTTTAAATTAGTTTTAATGACAGAACCAAAGGTTTATATTTGTTAACTAGTGTATTGCTCAATAGACTAATGTAAAACGTATTTTGCATAACGTATTTTGTGATACCTAACTGGGTGGTGCTGCCCCAGATAAAACCAGTACAAAATTTGGGGCTCCTGGATTCTGGGCTCCTGTTCAATGAGAAAGTAGGTAGCTGTGATCAAGAGGGCTTTTGAACAGATCTATTTGGTGTGCAAATTATGTCCTTTCCTGATGAGTAGGCCATTCACACAGTCATTCATCCCTCAGTCATTTTCCATTTGCACTGTTGTAATATTCTCTTCAAGAGCCAGTTTAGTTGTCTGCAGAAATTGGGGGACTAGGAGTTCTAGTTTTAAACTTAAAGGTAGCAGGGTGACTTTGGGCCAGTCAATCCCAAACCTTGAAAGAAAACAATGGAAAATTGCTTTGGAAAAATTTGCAAAAGAAATTGCAGGAACCAGCCTCAGCAATCACCAGAAATTAAGACTGATTCAAAGGCAGCACACCAAAATCCTCTACATAGGTAACAGCTCAGTTCCTAGTTAGCTACAGGGATGTTTTTCTCCTATGGTTATTGCCTAAGTAAGATCTGAAAGAATTTGAAACTTGTTTCCAGCTATAAAACACAGACTGGTGATACCTTAGAAGACATTTCTTGGTAGCTCAGTGAAACAACATATCCACTGAGTTCTGTGGCCCAACACTTTGAGGCTTCCATAAAAAACCTGGCTCTTATTATACCTGCAGGAGGATAGACTAGTGTGTAATATGATGAAAAATATATTTGTGGTGTTATGCTTCCCAGTCAGTCCTATGTATGGTATTTGGTGATACTGTTTAATTGTTTTTAGTTGTTATTTACTGGACATTTTAGTTCTATTGTGTAAAGTGTCTAGAGTCACTTTTTGATTAAGGCAGCATAGGAGTTGACCAAAGAGGGGGAAAAATAGAAAACATAGGCCATAAAGCTGGAAACATTCTTATACATAAGATTATCACCTGTAAAAACGGAAATATGACTGCTAGTTTTATTATCACACTTCAATCCATCATACAAGTTTTAAAAGTGATGGTAGGCTGAATGTATGTAAACTGGTTTTCTGAGCTCTTCTAATTCAGGTGCTGTAAAAAGTAAAGGCTGCTATTCAGAAATTTGGTGGGCATGCTCTCCTCATCTTCTTCCCTGAGTTGGAGCCCTAAGAACAGTCAAGCATTAATTTAGGTAGTCTGAAATAAAGCAGATGATAACACAACAGCCTGATGCACTGGCCAATTTGAGAAAGTACAATATGGTTTCACGGTCATGCTGGACATATTTGTTCTATTACATTGCATCTTTGGAAAATAGAAGAACAAGTAGCACAGGAGAAAAGGGAATATGAACAAAAAGTTGGTTTAAGAGGCTGAAGGAAATAAATTAGTTAAGTATGTACAGGATGAAAAGAGTGGAAAAAACTGGGAAATAATGTGCTATTGATAGCTCCAGTTTGCAACTATAAAAAACTAATTTATATCAGTCACTATACCAATAACAAAGCCAGTTTGATGATGTGGTTAAAATGCTGGCCTAGAAACCAGGAGACTAGGTCCTAGTCCTGCCTTGAGCATGAAAGCTGGCTGGTTGACTGAACCAATCGTTTTCTCAACCCAATACTCCTCATAGGGTTGTTATTGTGTAGAAGAAGTATCAGGCAGGTTTGTTGCCTTGGGTTATTTATTTAAAAAAAGATGGGATATAAATAAACTGACCAGGGAGGCTTAAGAATTCACAGGAAGTATCAGAATTTTGGAACAATTTCATATTTTATAACTAAAGCCTTTGATAAAGAAAGCTGTCAGTATAGTAGTTATGTTTAATGAAACTGATCTGTGGCTTGGTATTTCGAGTAAATCAAATGTATATAAATGAGAACAAGTCATGCAAATGGTATGTTTATGTAAAGATAAACATGAAAATGAAGTAAATATTTGAGAAATAAATAACTAACATGTCATAGATATGAAGCATACAGTAAATGCTACAGTTTTCCATTTCATAACTTATTTCTATGCAACAAAACAGCCTAGTCTTTTCTGGAAGGGAAAATAAGAAGAGCTGGATTTTATGATTTCTGGGTGATTTAAAGCTGTTTCCCATGTATAATCCTGGTTTTTTACCTATTAGGTACTCCTCAGTGTATGACACAATTGTATCAGAATTTCCATTCCTAAGCATGGCAATTGTTCAGTGAGTCATGGCCTTTTACGGCCTCCCCCCCCCCCCCAAATGCTTGTTAAACGAATCATGGCAATTGTAAAGAGGATCATGCAATGGTTAAGGGAATCTGACTTCCTCCATTGATTTTGCTGGAAAAGTCACAAGTGACCCAAGGATGCTGCTCATGTCATAAATACATACTGGTTGCCAAGTGCCTGAATTTTGATTACATGAACATGGAGATGCTATGATGGTTTAAGTTCAAGGACCAGTTGTAAATCACCTTTTTCAGTGCCAGTGTAACTTCAAACAGTCACTAAATTAATAGTTCTAAATTGAGGACTACCTGTACTTTACTGATCTAGGAATCATATGGGCCCAAATCCTCTCAGATCAATATGGTAGATTAGACTATAGCCTTTTATCTACACAATGTATCTTACCCAGATTCTGTTCCAGAGGAAATGGGGGATATTTTTTTGTGTACTGCTCCAGCTGAATTTTCAATACCATGTCCTTTAAAACAAGAATAAAGAACTCTGAAAAATATATCTTAAGAATGATCAGCACATTCAAGAAATTTAATTCAAATTACAGAACTGAAGCATTAATTCACCCATTTTACATTAAATGGTGGAATTTAACAGTAGCTCAGTAGTTGTTAATCCTAAATCCACCTTTTGAACGTTACTCAAATAGAAGTACGATGCGTGCTGCTTGCATGATATAATTTTGAAATTAAGTCAGAGTAATTAGCAAAAAGATATTGAGCATCAATTTTAGCTCACCCAAATACTATATGTTAATATGAATGTCAGTAACTCGAGAAGCAAACAATGAGAACAGTTACCTCCAATTTATATTACATGATTTTGCTAGATTGTCCTAAAATTATTTATTCTCTTAAGTATTTCACGTGAATAAAAATTATACAATCAATCATGCTTTTAAATTAACAATATAGAACAGCAAAAAAACTGCAGAAAACTATACATTAGACTAGATTATGTATTGTTCCATTGTATGTCAAATTAATATGACATAATTGTAAATGCAGTTGGCCTATCAGTAGCTAAGCTTGATTTTATAGTATAAGATTTATGTAACAATATTGTAGAGAAGATTTTTTTTTAAGATTCCAAAAAATGCTGTATTGGATATAAAAACTTCAACTCTCAGAATTTCCCAGCCAGTCATTCTGGGAGTTGAAGTCCACAGGTCTTAAAATTGTCAAGGTTGGACATTTCTGATATATGGTATCTGCAAATATGGCATTATTGGTAAAATATAGCTGTTGCAGTTCTGTTGGGATGACTTTAAGCATTCAGTATTTCTAAGCATTTCAGATATGTTGTCATTTACCTGTTACAGATTGGCCAGTATTTGCCCCTTGTAATCTATTTTGAAGTAGTGTCCCCACAGCATTTGTTAAAGTTGGTTCTTTTTTGGAAACTCCTTGTTTTCCCTAGAAAACAGAGTGTACAGAACTAAACAGCATCGAAATGGAGGCTCTCACAGTGTAATATAATCATTTTTACATTTTAAAAAATCTTCAAAGGAGCAAGAATAAAAGATACATTGATACTGATTGATCAATTTTTATATATTCCCAGTAAACTTCACTTGGCAGAGAAATTCCTATCTAAATAATTTTCCTAATTCACTACTGTCTACCACATATCTTTGATTCTCAGCTGACTTCGTCATAACTAAAATCCATTTAAAAATCCATTTAAAATTCTTTATAATTGTTGCTGAGCTAAATAGACTGCAAGCTTTTAAAACTTTTGCATCTCAACCCAACCCAAACCTAGAATACTTCAGGAGCAATTACTAGTTCTATTCCTTGCTTGCTAAGTAGTAATAGAATATTACAATCTAGTGCAATTTTCAGTTAATTATATGAATGATAAATATGTTAAAGGTATAAGGACAATTCTGTGAGTCTTGATAAACACAGTAATATTTGCAGAAAACCATAAAACTCTTGCTTCCAAAGAGAGCTTTAAAATCTCTTGTAATCTTAACTCTTATTCCAGCTCTGCTCATAATCATGCTACTGGGCAAAATAGCAATAGCAAAAGCTCTTAGACTTTTATACCACTTCATAGTGCTTTACAGCACTAAGTAATTTACAGAGTCGGCATATTGTCCTCAAAAAAATGGGTCCTCATTTTAGCAACGCTGAGTCAACCTTGAGCTGATCAGGATCGAACTCCTGGCAGTGGGTGGAGTCAGCCTGCAATACTGTGTTCTATCCAATGGCTCGTTACTATAATAAACTCCAGTTTGTAGTCCCAAAGATGCTTTTACAGGAGGCAAATGACTTTTTTGTTTTTTTCTTTTGAAGATGTTTCACTTCTCATCCAAGAAGCTCATTATTGAAGCATTTGGAGGGTGCTCATCCCAAATTGTATAGCTTCAACGACCCTCTAAAACAGGGTTGTCAAACTCGTGGCCTGCAAGCTGGTTGTGCCATGTGCTGCCCCCTCCCCCACCCAGTTCAGTGAAGGAAAAAAAGTCCCAATACATCATTTGACGCCACCTTGATGACGCGACTTAGATACCTCTGCTCTAAAAGGATGCAAATCTCTACAGACTTTTAGTTATACAATTTGGGATCAACACCCGTCAAATGGTGTGGGAGTAGGAATGGATTTCCAGAGGAAAAAAGAAAAAAGGGCAGACTACAGGAACCAAGAAGACTACTCAGGTGACCCTGAGGACACAAATAAACTTCCAAGTGCTTCAACAACCTTCTAAAAGGATGCAGATGACCAGCTGTCTGCAAGGAGTATAAATCCCTCCATTTCCCACTATCCTGTCAGATTTGAAGAAGCTTCTTGGGTGAGAATCAAAACGTCTTCAAAAGAAAAAAGTCCAATTGCCTCCTGAAAAAGCACCTTTGGACAACCATGACCTGGATGACTGAAAAGCTCTATAGACACAATTTATAGTATATTAATAAAAACATAATAAACAATTGTTTGTTGCTGAGTAAAGCCAATTCTTTTGACTTACAGTCTTTGGAGAAGTTAAAAAGTCTGTATTTAGAAAGTGATGCTCCAAGTGTCTAGGAATTGCAGAACCCAAATTTCTTCTAAGATTTTCCTTTGATTTTTCCTTTGAGCTCAGCATGTAAAAACCATGTAATCCTCCATTGGTCAGTTGGAGAACTGTCATCATCTTCCCAAAACATTCACTTTGAATATATTTGAGTATGGTGAGCTTTTTTTAAATTATGGCTTCTGAATATTGTATGCACATAATTGAGCCATCATCTTTTTCTAAGTTTCAGAAAAGGTAACCATTAGGAATTCTAATTTAATATTCTAGTCCCAAGAAAGTTTTTATGTAAAAAAATAACTGGAAAAGAAAAAAAATGTAGTTTTCGTCTATTCCTTATCCCAAAGGATTACTTGTCATTTCTTGAACCTGAAGTAAAAGAGCCACAACAATGACAGAATTTTGACCAAATTTTGGTCAAAATTCTGCCATGTATGATGATTCTTCAAAAAAGGATGAGAGAAAAATGGTAGAAGCAAAATAGCTTGAATACAGTCCAGTTACTTACTGAAGCTGGTTTGCCTCCCTTCTGGCCTGGGGCAAAGGATCGTCTGGCAGCTTGTTCTTTGCAAAAGTTGATGTGCCTTTCTGCCGCAGTCTGATTAAACCTTCTCATACAATAAGGACACTGAATATAATCTGAATACAAAAAAGCACCTTGACTATCTCAAATGATATTTGGAGAATGAGTATATGAATGACAACTTTATAGAAATGGAGCAAATGAATGAATGAATGATATTTCCATAGTTCTACTCTTAAGAATGCTATAGAAAGCTGTTATTCCTCAAGCCCTAGGCAAGAAGAGGGAAAAGCCCTGCTCACAATACATGTTTAGTAATTGTCAGAATTATACCAGTTTTTGACTCAGAAAGTTATCTACTTTCAGAGAACGTATTGTATCTACAAATATATTTGGTCATTTTAGTCATATTCTCTTGAGTATTTATAACCTTTTCTTCTTTTTTAAATTCCTTTGTTTGGAAACAGTAACAAAGTAGAAGAAGATTTAGTGTAAAGAGTCACTGGAGAAAAGGAGAGATTATTACCAAAAAGCATACATTACGTCCAAGAAACAGGAAGTTTGAGAAAGAAATTCTGAATTCTAATTCATTGGGGTGTGAGAGGACAAACACACTCCAGCTTTCAAGATTTTATAACTATATCAATATAGCCAAAGTTTCCTGTCCTGCCTCAAAGGTTGACAGCTGCTTACCTAATATATTCCAGAACGTTTTCTTCAAAAACCTTCCAAATTATTTTTTAAACTCTTTCAAGTTTTGAGATTAGATAGAAACACTGTTTGAAAATATGAGGGCCACTACACATTCACTGAAGGAATCACCATCTGCAGCCATCATATAGTAGGAAAAAAATTAGGCTGAGAAACCTTTAGAGACTATTACTCTCTACCACCATGATTCAGGGACATCTGCTCTGGTTCTTCAAACAAACTTTTCTGATTTTTTAAGCCAAGATGTAGTTTCAGTACAAGTAAACCACCTGGGTTAATGGACGGAGGTGGTGGTGGTGGAAGAGGACGGCCTTCTTTCATGGCTCGAGTTGCAAGTTTAGCGGCTCTGATGGCTGAAATAAAATCTTCATGCTGTTGTCTCCAATTCAATTTTCTCTCCTGTCCATTCTGCAAAGGAATTAGATTTCCCTTTCGCCAATCAGAGCACATATTAATTACAGGTGTTGCTTTGAAAAACAATTTTAAGAGATTTTGTACAGATTATGAATAATAAAAGAATTCCAATGGCTATTAAAAGAGACAGCTTGAGTAGTGGTTAAGACAGGGGTGAAATCCAGCAGGTTCTGACAGGTTCTGAATAACCGGTAGTGGAAATTTTGAGTAGTTCAGAGAATCGGCAAATGCCACCTCTGGCTGACCCCAGAGTGGGGTGGGAATGGAGATTTTGTAGTATCATTCCCCTGGAATGGGGTGGGAATGGAGATTTATCTTTCCCCTGCCCTGCCACCAAGCCACACCCACCAAGCCATGCCCATAGAACCGGTAGTAAAAAAAATGAATTTCACCACTGCGATAAGCCATCTGGCTGGAAATGGAGATACTCTGAGCTTTTGTCCTGCCTTAGGCACAAGACCAGCTGGGTGACCATGGTGCAGTCACATCCTCTCAGCCCTAGGAAGCAGGCAATAGCAAACCACTTCTGAAGATGTTGCCAAGAAACTGCAGGGACTAATCCAAGCAGTCTCCAGGAGTCAATACTGGCTTGCGGGTACAAAATATGTGTATATTATTATTATTATTATTATTATTATTATTATTATTATTATTATTGTTATTGTTATTGTTATTGTTATTGTTATTGTTATTGTTATTGTTATTATTATTATCTGTTTAGGACAAACAGAATTTCCCAGGTTTGCTTTGTTGTGGGAGCGCCAATAGTCATTGGATGGAAGTGATGAATGTTTGGAAAAGGAGATTGCTTGGGAGGTCTGACGGAGTAGGACAAATGGAAGGGAAGGTGAGAAGCAGCGTATTACATTACACCTTTTCTACAGAAACATAAACCAGCGTATCTAACACTCCCTCCATTATTTCCCCTTCCACCACAAGCCTGAAAGATATATTGGGCTGAGGCGGAATGACTGGTCCAAAGCCATTTATGTGCCATGGCTGAGTTTATGGATAAGGTGAGAAGCTAAATTCATTCATTCGGGGGGAAGAACATGGTTGAATCCTGATAGCAGCTACATAGATGACGCAAAAAGGGTGCGCCCTAAAAGTTTACATTTCTAGGCCTGAAAATACAAATGACACCTCTTTGTAAATAAGGGATGAGCCCCTAATGCTATTCCTGTTAACAGCATTTATTTCAAGTGAATGTTGGCAGGGCAGCAGAAGACAAATAATGTCCACCCCATTTTATATCCAATAACAAAAGGTTGGAATTCCAGGCATTAGCTGAATGTTGGTGATCAAGTAATAAATGTTATGGGACCGTCCAAACTTCTATATTAGGACAGCCCCAGTCTGTATAAAGAATCCAGACATCCACTTCTCCAGCTCTATTGTAGCAAATCATCTCAATGGCAAGGCTTTGGTACTCCTTAAAACATACCCTGTTTTCCCGAAAATGGGACCTCTCCGGATAATAAGCCCAATCAGGCTTTTGAGTGCATGTGCTAAAATAAGCCCTCCCTGAAAATATTTGTGCAGCCAGAGGGGGGGGACATGCCCCATGCACCCCACACACTCTTACCTAATAGCCGCTCCCACAACCCTAGCCAGCGAACCTCTTCTGTCATGCTAATCGCCAGCGCAAAAAGAGTGGCAGGCCCAGCGACGCACAACATAGCAGTAGCCATGAGGTGACCACGCTTGCCGCCTCCTGCACTTCAAAAATAATAAGACCTCCCTGAAAATAACTCCAAGTGCTTATTTCAGGATCAAAAGAAAATAAGACCCTGTTTTATTTTTGGGGAAACACAGTATTGATGAAAATATGGGGATGGTGTTGAGAGATCTACCTTTGTGGGTGGCTTCTTTTTCACTGTTGGGATATCAGTTCCCTGTAGTCGTTGTTTCAAGGAATTGAATGGCTTGCGCTTCTTGTTGAAAATTTTTTTGCATATTGGATTGTGTCTTGCCTTAAGGGAAAGGAAAAGTCATACAGTCACGTTCCTCAACTAGCACAGGCATATATTATTTTTGATTTGATACTTTAAACTCTCATTTCAACCTTTAGTGTAGTACAGTATCTTGATGCTTAACTGGGAATAATAATGTGCTTGTGTGTCACACAAAATTACAGGTTACTTCTGTCTGCTCCAATTCATGGCATGTAATCACTGCTTTTGGTAAGCTAATTGGCTAATCTGTTTTGAGTATTATTTTTTTTAGTATTTTATTAGGATTTATAGGCCGCCCTTTTCCCTGAGGGGACTCAGGGTGGCTTAGAATCATTAGGGAGGGG